GAAATCACCCCCCAGGGGGGATGGTCACACCGCAATCCCTTCTCCTCCATTCTCCTCTTGGGATCTTGGGCACGCACGCACACGCGCCTGGTGTGAGTTCTAAGCCACCGGGTCTGGGACGCGAACTGGGGTCGACTATGTGGGAATCTAGCAACATAGCCATTACGCTAACTGCTGGTTCCCGGGCAGAGACTTTTAAGGCTCTTACTCACTTGCTGAGGTTCTGAAAGCTTAGTGCTACTTTCTGGCCTGGCTCTAATCCCGCTCCCCCCTCAGGTCGCTCTGCAGGGCTCTGGCCCCAGCCCGAGTGTCCACACCCTCATTTTGTGTGGCCAGTTCCACAGTGGCCGCTGCTGTCTCTTGGGTGGATCTGATCCCCATTGGGACTCAGGCACTGCCGGGAGCCCCCGGAGGTGCCAGGGCTGAGCCTGAGCTATTCGTGGCATGGTCAAAAGCCTGGGGATTGACTGTTTCTGCCTTCTTGAATGTCCCCAGAGCCTCCCCAAAGCCATCCTGAGAAGGGCTGGTACTTGGTGACTAGTCCATCCAATGTGTATAGGATAAAACTGGCTGAATGAGTTCAGGGGAGGGAGGGTCTGTGACGGGTTGTCAGTAGTTTTCTGGGTGGGAGTGATTACCAGGCCTGCTCAGAGACAATGGCCAAGATCAAACCCAGGAATGGCCCTCTGTTCTCTTGCAGTGGAGCAGCTCACAAGACAGCGAGTGTGCTCACTCTGGATGGTCACGTCCAGCCGCTGTGGCTTTTTTTTTTTTTTTTTTGAAGAGGTTTGCTATAGGGTGCAGGTGCTTGCCAGAAAGACAGAGAGAGACATAGAGACAGAAAGCGAGAAATCACCCCCCAGGGGGGATGGCCACGCTGCAATCCCTTCTCCTCCATTCTCCTCTCGGGATCTTGGGCACGCACGCACACGCACCCAGCATGAGTTTAAGCCACTGGGTCCGGGATGCGAACCGCGGTTGACTACATGGGAGTCCAGCGACATAGCCATTACTCTAACTGCTGGTTGTGCACTGTGGGTTCTTACAGAAGTCCATGATGCAAACCTATGCTTCTTCCTACCACACCTCAAACTCTGTGCAAAGCCCAGTGACATAGCCATTACTCTAACTGCTGGTTGTGCACTGTGGGTTCTTACATGATGCAAACCTATGCTTCTTCCCACCACACCTCAAACTCTGTGCAAAGCACTCGCAGTCAGAGGTTTCCTTGTCCCTTCTCACAACGGTACCCTGAAGCTAGGTCTGGAGTTAAGAGGCTCTTTCCATGGGGAAACTGAGGCTTAGGGAGGGTTTTGACTTGCCCAAGGACCTCCAGCTGCTTTGTGGTGCAGCCTGGACCATCACCCACTGCCATGTCCTGGTCTGGGCATCTTCCCATCAAGTCAGTCATCCCAGCAGGCATTGCCCTGTGGGCGGTTGGCCCCATCAAGCTTGGAAACACCTCCCTCCACCTCTTCTTAGAGAGTCTCAGAAGTTCTGCTGAGTCCTCCCAGAACCCTGTTTCATTTTGCTTTACCTCAGCATGTCATCCCATTACATCAACACTCACAGATCTTTCTGGAACCCTAGGGCCGAAGGCTGAGCCCTGCTGCCTTGCTGGTGACTGGCTTTGTTGGAAATGATGAACCCTGACACCAAGCTCTGCCCTGGGACTTCTCCTCTCTCTCTGTCCCCTTCTCCCCCTTCCCGCCCCGTCACCCCTTTCCAAGAGCCTCAAGCAGCTCTGAGGTTACTGGGTGAGCTCCACTCCTGACTCAGTAAATTTGCATGGCCTGGAAAATTGGGGTGGGGGCTTTTTCTTACACTGAGCCCCTGTGCTGCCCCTGTGAGGCCACACGCTCACTGAAGTGGGATAAACTTATCAGCAGTACGTGAGGAAATGGAAACCAGCACCTGGATTCCAGAAAATACAAACAGGCGAAAAACTCTGGGCCCAGGGTCACATTGCATGTCTCCTTAAAACATACCAAAGTTGGGCTGAGGTCTCAAAAGCCCCGTGCCATGGATCCAGGCCATGCAGGGAGGCCAAAGGCCATCCAGGGTGGATGGCACAGAGAGGAGGACAGTGGCATGGAGCTCCCAGGGACATGGGCTAAGCCTGGAGGGCAATGTTTCTGCCCCTTCTGCGGGGAGGACAGGAAGTGGGCAGGATGTCTTCTGCAGAAGTGGATTCCCTTCTAAGGCCAGGGTGCTGGCTGAGACCCCTTTGTACTCCAGGGGCCTTGCGGGAAGACTCAGTCAGGGCTAAGCTGCAAGCCCGGCAGGAGGGCTGCTGGGGGCAGGGCAAGGACGGCCCAAGGCCTGCTCAGTCGCTGAGCCAGCTGCCCAGGGAGAGGAGGCAGGGGTCTGGCACAGGCTCCTTCTAGCAGAGGAGCCATCACTGGCTGTACACTCCAGTCAGGAGCTTTAAGAAACATGCAAATGGTGTGGACAGAGGTGGGTGTCCTGAGGGTGTTCCTGAGATGTGGGCTTGGTCTGCCCCACCCTGCTCCCAGGGCTGCTGCCTCAGCCTCTCCCAAAGCCTCCCTAGGATTCTCCGGAGCTCCCCAGAAAGTGGATTTTAGAACAGATGGAGGCTCCACCTGCACCCCCAACTCCAGCCCTTCACTGAGCATGGCACTTCAGGGTACAGAAGAGCTACGAGGCAGGTGTGGCTCAGCAACCCCTCACGCCACCACTTTCTGGTTGTGTGGCCTTGAGCAAGCTATGTACCTTCTCTATGCCTCAGTTTCCTCATCTATGAAGCGAGCACAGGAACGGTGCTCATTTCATAGGCCCGTTAGGTTAAATACATTAATGCGCTCAAACACTTAGACTTGCTCCGTGAGTGTCGGTTAGCGCTCGTACGGCAGTCGAAGGGCGTCAGGGGAGCTGTTCCCCTCAGCCAGCGGCCTTCTCCAGCATGGGCTTCCTACCTAACACGTGCCCCGTGAGGCTCCAGAAATGCTGGAGAGAGCTGCTGGAACTGGCCTGGCTCTGAGGCTCTGCAAGCCAGCCAGGGCTGGTCCTGCTAAACCAGGAAGATGCATTTCCACTCTGGTCCAGGCAGGGGGGTCCCCAGAGGGCCCCCTAAATGGCCTGGTTCCTGAAACCAAGAGAGAGAGGTAAGTGAGCTTTTCCTTGCTGTGCCCAGGGACCCTGCCTGAAGGGGGTTGGGCTCCCCCATTCCGAGACCCCTTCTTCTTTGCCTTCCTTGGGCTTGGCACACAGCAGGTGCTCCACGTCTGCTCAGGGTCCTGTGTGACAGCAGGGACCACACAGGCCAGCAGTCCCCGGGGCCTCTGAAAAACTGTGCTTGCACTGGCATCTCTGGGGGGGCAGGGAGGGCCAGGACCCAGGCACTCCTCTTCTGAAGGCATTCGTCCTCTCCACTGTTCACTGTCCCCCACATCCCCATACACAGACAAGCACACACACACGCACTCATTCGTCCACACACACACACACACACACACACACACACACATGAGTTCTGTGATGAGACTCCTCTGAAGACGCCAACCTGGGCCAGGAAGCCAGAAAAGCCTTTCTGGACCCCCAAGGGTGCTGGGTGGGAAGCAGCCACTCTCCCAGAGGGGGTGAGTCAGCACTCAGGGCCTCCTCACACTTCACGTAGCCGACTGGCTCGACCCCACTGCTGGACTCACTTGTTCAGCCACCTCTGCTGTGCAGTCGAGAACAGGCACCTGGGAGTTAGTTTCGCGGACTCGCACCCTGCCCTGGGAGCCGCTGTGCAGAGAGGGCATGGCTGGGGAAGGGCCTGCCCCGCACACAGATCCGGACCCTCCCTGTCCAGAGCTCCACTCTGTAGTCTAG